ACCACCTTCATCATCGCTCTGCCTCTTGGCTGGTATCTATGTAGGGGATAGAAATACACAGTTTCCCAGACCCACCAGGAGTCGTGAAGCTGTTAGTCCAGTGATGCGGTCCAGCTGTGGAGCCGTAAGAAGAGGTAAACCTCTCCCTTCCAGTCCCCTTTGCATTCCTCAGTGAGAATGAGCTTCCCATAGGGAGAGAGGCCATCATGAGAGTTTCTGTCCCGGAAATGAGCCTTGACTATGTGCTGGCCACTTACCGTGCTCTCTCGTTACGGCTCCTCAACCCTGAGAGGCAGATGTTGAATGCATTTTCAAAGCAGAAAGCAAGACTTGATTCATCCTTTTCTCCGAGTCTGGTAGGTGGAAGAGCCAGCATTGGGATCCAGGCTTTCGTGATTTCGAAATCCTTCCATGAACGTTAACGTAGAAGAATGCGGATTCCGGAGGAGGAGGGAAAATGCCCCTGAAAGTCAGTCTATTGTTGCCGGTGAAGGAAAGGAGACAGAAATTGGTCTCCACTCATTACCGAATTGGAGAAATGGGAAGATTGGGAGTAAAAATAAAGATAGCTTAGAGCTGCGGACCTCATTGAGACAGAATTTGGCTAAGTTTTAACAAAAGAATGCGTTTTAATCGTGTACTTTTTGATCTGAACACCATGTCATGAGAAAACAGATGTACTAAGCCAGACGATGCTCTGAGTAGTCTTTTGTTGCTGTTCTATGTGTGGAAAATGAAACAAGAAAGATGAAGTCATTTATACCTTACTGAACGTAGAGAAGTCATAAATTGGTAGTATACGGTTTTTGAATATAGCAAAGTGATATTATTGGGTGGATCCTAAAGTTTAAATCCAGCCAAAAGAAAAATGAAAAATGTACTAAATAGAAGAGCAAGACGAGATGGGTTTTTAAAAAGCTACTTGCATTATATATATGGATCAAGGGCTTAATATTTTTTAAAGGGGAGATGCAAATCCATAAGGTTTTCTACTCTACCAGGCAAATTCATTGAAAGGATTGGTACAAATGAAAAAATACAAATAAATTCTTAGGATGATATTCAGATTTCCTAGTATGAAAAATGCAAATTGAAACAACTTTGACCTAATTTCTACTAGTTCATGCTAGTAGCAAAAGTTTTCAACTGCATGTTCCACATACCAGTAGTATTATTCTATTAGTAGATTTTAAAAGAACTATTTAGAAAAACATAATAAGAGCTCTATAACCAATATCTTTTGATAGATCTCATTTTGAGAAGCATATATCCAGGAAAATAAAAGTAAAAGATTAATTGTATAAAGATATTTCTAGTAACTCCATTCATTTGAGTTTTTTTAAAGCCCAATAATTGGGAAATGTATAAATAAGATTTTGTGTATTGCTATTGCTATCAAAAACTGTTATGTAGACATTAAATAATATTTATATATGTAAAATTGTATGGGAAAATGTTTAAATGAGACTCAAAGTGTTAGAATATAAGTTATATTTACTGGTTATATTCATGTACATTGAGGATCAGAAGAAAACATGATTAATTGGAATTTAACATTAAGAGGTCTTTATTTTCTGTAAAATACTGAAGTGTGCAATGAAAAATAAAAGATTATGGTATACTGATTTGGTGAGAAATTATTGATTCCTTGGAAAGTTCTAAAATTCTCCTTTAGATGAAAAAATATATATATTTAAATATTAAATTCAAAGGATAATCTCCAAAAATGTTGATGTCAAGTTTTACAACTCTTGTTGTAAATATCTGTTTGTAGTTCACTCTGAAGGAAATGCATCTTTAAGCATTTTGCAGTGTTTTTTAAAAAAATACATTTTTATTGATTTTATAGTTTTAAAGAACTAGGCATTCTTGGGGACATTCGTGCAGTGGGTTTATGCCAAAAGTTTTAAAAAACATTTTTATTGGTTTCAAAGGGGAAGGGAGAGAGAGAGAAACATCAATGGTGAGAGAACCATGGATCGGCTGCCTCCTGCACGCCCCACGCTGGGGATCGAGCCCACAACCCGGGCCTGTGCCCCGACCAGGGAATTGAACCCTGACCTCCTGGCTCATAGGTCGATGCTCAACTATTGAACCACGCTGGCTGGCCTGTGCCAAATTGTTTTATAGGTCATAACTAAAGGCCTTGAGCACCCCATTTCTGCTTGAGACGTTTATTTGTTCCTCTATTCACCCCCATACTTAAAAGTAAGAACAAAGGTATTACATTCCTGCTCCCCTTGGATTCATCCTCCCAGACACCAGGGT